TCTACGCCGATGTTAATTGTGTGCACTGGTTTATTGCGTGACCGTATACGCCACGTATACATCGATCTGCGTCAGTATTAACTCTGTGCAGTGGTTTATCACGTGTCCGTATATACTACATATACGTAGGAATACGTTAGACAGCATTGTTCTGCATTAGGTGTACGTTAATGTGCGCACTGTATACTTCCGGTCTGCATAAATATACTGCTGTGTATATTTACGTATCAGTATGTTCCGAATGTGTGAATATACGTTGCGTATTCCTCGTACATACGTTGAATGTACGTGTGCGCTGACCAACGTATATCTTCGAATATCTGGAATATATGCGTGCGAATACACTAATGTACCCACCGTATACCAACGATTTTGCCCAGTGTATATCGTAAATTTCTTTTTTTTCACAATTTCACTGGGTATTAAGTTCACAAACCTACTGGTGGCCGGGAAAAAATGAGTTCTATTGATATTTTACATGCTCAATAGATTTTAATGGATTTTCGCAAAAATAGCAAAATTAAGAACCAGTGAAAGATTAACACATTTAATAATCATTGAACAGGGGAAATCTAGAAACCATCAATATTAAGAGATTATTAGAAATGATATTCATTTAATAAGAAATCCAGCAACAAACAAAAATAGAAATTGGCAAAGCATTAAATTTATTTATAAATACTGATATTATAAAAAACTAAATTCAAAATGAAGGAAATGTTTTCCTTCTCACCACCAGTTCCCTCTTTTCATCACCAATTCCCCTTTTCATCACCAGTTCCCTCTTTTCATCACAAATTCACAAAATAAATGTAGTCCTATTTATAGTCTGCACTTTCTTTTGGAAGATTGAAACAAAAATAGTATAATTGTTTGAGTAAAAACAAAAAATAGAAATTTTGTCTGTTGGCTTCAAAATTAGGGTTCATTTTCAGAAATATTAGAGAAGAAAAAAGTGCAGAAAAATTTGAGACTAATTAACTGAAAGCTGAAAATAAAAAAAATGCACATACCAAATCAAATATCTTTGGTCTTGATTGATTTCCAATATAAAGTAAATCAGGAAAACCTTTAGTGATAGCAAGAGCCATTGGTTCTCCTTTTCTTTCCAATAGTGCATTGGTAGCTACTGTGGTGCCCATCCTAATCCAATCAATCAAATTAGCATTGATTGGTTGAGATGCAGGCATGTTCTCGCTCGTCACCTGCAACAAACACAAAATACAAAAGTGAATGTTCCCTCTGACAATATTATGGAGATTTCCCAGAGTCTTTCATTTCATGAAAATAGGTCTATAACCAAATTCATTCAATACTTATTTTGACTTTAGAAACACCTCTGTAATTTACATAAACACATGTAATGCTAAGCAAATACAGTAAGTGGACAGCGAAAGATACTGGACAATTTTCAGAAAATTATTTTTATATAAATTTGTTTTTTTAAATCACATTATTGGGAATTTAATCAGTGTTTATGTACATTATTCAAAACTTTCAAAATTAAGAGAAAAAGATCTTTGATTTGACATTATTTATATTGCATTTCTCTAAAAAGCCCATTTTTTTTTTTAATTTAATTTTATTTGTTTGCATAGTTTTTGTGAAACAGTGGCAGTCATCTGTGGATAATTTTCAGAAATGTAAATTAAACATAATTCAATACAAAATATTGTTTAAATAAAGTCTGTGTTAAATGTTTAAGCTGCCATATTTTGGATTGCTAGACATCAAGTTGTTTTATCCTGCTTACAAATTATTATATAAATAAAATACTATTATTTTGTCTATTCATATACATTGAGGTGAGAGAAAATTATCTTAACAACTTCCGATATAGATATAATATTGATAGTTCTAGCAGACAGCTTGAAAAAATTGTTTTCTCTGATATTCAAAAGAGTTTATCCCTTACAGCAATTCCAGGCACTGATTTGACGCTGAAGTAGTGCTATATGTAGATAACTTACTATAATAGGTTACACACTTTGTTTTCAAATTTACAGAAGTTGTTACAAATAATGCAGACAGCGTGTCTGCAATTTGAAGCGCACCAGAAGAAAGCTCCGCCCATATAAGTGACGGTACATTAGTTTTGAATTACTCCTCCAATAAACGATCGAGGCTCTCAACTTAGTTTTGTACTTCAATTTGCGTCACATGTTATTTCAGTGAGAGGGGTGCATAAAGTGGTGGCGCTGTAAAGAACGTTATTTTACAGAACCAGCTGACCGACTGATCATGACAGAATTATTGATCAAAGTGCATTATTCCTACTATGGAAATATCCGTATCACGCCGATGTATATAACTGAAAGCTGCCTGCAGCAAATGTCCTATGAAGACTTTATCCAGTATATCAATAATGAAATTGAATACATAAGTAGAATGGGTGTTGTTCGATTATTAGTTCTCGACGATGAGAACCAAAAGATTGATGTACCACCAAATAATCGCTTTAAAAAGCTTATTACTGGCAACACACGACCACACATCCGGGGAGGGTTGCCGCCGTACACAAGTAGTTTTTGTTGAATTTCCCGTCCGTAAATGCGCGGTCACAATGTTTTATAATATTCGACATAGTCTATAACGTTGTCAGTTTCCTGGCAGGATACCCTCAGGATACTCTCGGTGGTAACAAACTGTTTGACGATATTATAAGCTGTCTGCTTTGAAACACCATTTAGATCTCCAATGACAGTCCACGAAAATACAAATCGACAACTCTTGTTCTCAATTCAACTGTTTTTTTTGACTTCTTGCTTCTCCATTGTGGTGCTTAAACAACTTGGACAAATGCCGATTTGTAGATAGGCAATCAACACAATGACCGACCAAAAGTGAGTGAAAAACAGACGCGCCTCAAAGTCTAGGTGTACCTGACTTTGTAGCAAAAATAGAAAACATTGTGGGCAATATCTGTCAATCATTCCTCTGATTTGCAGCCGATGTTTATATTTCTAGTTACAACTTATGTAAATTTGAAACCAAGTGTGTAACCTATTTTAGTAAGTTATATCAACATCTAGCACTACTTCAGTGTCAAATCAGTGCCTGGAATTGCTGTAATATTTGACAATGATGCGAAATATATATGAACAAACAGTTATTGTAAACTTCACTGAACACTACTGTAGAATTTAAAGTAGATTTTTAATGTGAGGTACAGTTCGCATAAGATAGAATGTGATTTTATGCTGATATCACCCTTATGCCCAGTTCAAAGGTCAAAAGACTTAGGGGAGAACAATTTGAAATCTAGGGAGAGAGATGGAGGAAACTGGTCAATTGCATATATTTTTTATTACACTACTGTGGCATGGATTTTTTTTCTCTACTATTGAATCTGTAGATTTTTTTCCCTTGATTTCAGTCCACATAAACTTAAAAAAATCCCGCATCCCCCTCCTGATTTTGAATGAATTACCCCCTGAAACTAAGTCACACACACCTCCTCCATGATTCGTCTGATGCCTTCTCTCGGCGCGTCAGAATAATTACTGGGATCTTCAGAAAGAAGCTTCATCACTCTTACTCTTCCGCCTGGACACCGTGCATAGACGTCAGTAAACGTGCCGCCACGGTCGATTGCAAACTGGAACTTGCTAGACGACGAATCAGCCATTTTAGATGAGCAGTGAGAATGGACAAGCAACTTTATTGACAGGGTATGACCTCTAAAGTCACCTGACTTAATGACATGTGCATTATTTTTTCTACATCCTCATTCATTCCCTGAGAAATGTTCAAACATGGAATATAACTAAATCATTTCAGACAAATATTGATAATCAACGAAACAAATAAGAAACATTAAATTATACACTGTATTTTATAAATCCTTGACTATATTTAGTATATCATAGTTTCGGAAAAAAAATATTACACTGGACGAGGCTGAAAGACGGAAGTACCTTATTAAAAAATGGCTGGGATTGAACTACTTTCAGATCAAGGTTTTCGTGCTGACGGTCGCAGGCCACACGAACTACGAAAAATTAGATGCAGAATGGGTGTCTTTCGGCAAGCTGACGGTTCAGCTTATATAGAACAAGGCAACACTAAAGTTCTGGCAACGGTATACGGACCACACGAGGTATTAACAAAGACACATAGTCCACCGTCCCAAACACGTGCTGGTATGAGTGGTGAATACACGTACATGTATGAGTACGGTCATGTCATTCCTATATTTGTCTGAAACGAAATGTTTTGGGTTCCATCCATCCATCCATCCGTCCTTTTGTTCAATTTCAGCCATGCCTGGGTCGAATATTTCCAAACTTGATCTGTACATATCTGATAACGAGCGATGCATGTGTTGGATTGTTTTGATTTGATCACAGTCCCTCAGGACTGTGATTTGATTCAATATGGCCAACTAGTACGTGAAAATGTTTTTTTAAATATAATTTAACTACCACGAAGACAACCTAATTGTATATACTGAAGATGCATTTCATTTTGTTTTTTTGTTTTGATTAGGAAATCACCAGTTAATTTGACCGAGGTGGTGCCGGTAAATTTCACATGTTATTGTTAAATAATCACGAGTCCCCCAGGTGTATATTAAAAATTGGGCTGTCCCCTTTTATAAAAAGTACAAAATACGGTAGCCCCCCCCCCCCATGAAAAATTGTTTAAAGATTTAAATAAAAAAAGATTTACATTAATGAAACGTTGCATGCTTCCAGGTTCCAGGTCTTCTCCCTGACCTCATCACTACATATTAAGAAACTATTAAGTCATCAGTCTCTATTTCCTCTGCACTGTCAACGAGATCATCATCATCAGAGTCCTCTGGTCAGTTTCGTCAGTGTTGCACATTCTGGTATTTACAGTTTGTAAATGTTCAGTGATTTTATGTGTTTTTGATGTAATGTCATTGATGAGTTGCGTTTAATTTTTGCTGACCATGGCTTACCTGAAGAGGTTGTGTCTGATAATGGGCAACAGTTTACTTCTGTAGAGTTTGCGGAATTTATGAGTAAAAATGGCATAAAGCATACTTTGGTTCCACCTTATCACCCACAATCCAATGGGACAGCTGAGAGGTCAGTTAGAGTTGTGAAAGAAGCTTTATTGAAACAAGTTCTTTAATGTACAAGCAGTGTGTCTATGAAACATAGAATAGCAAATTTTCTGTTAATCAGAATTGATGGTGAAGCGGCGTTTAAGAACCAGGTTAAGTTTGATAAAACCTAATATTGCACAATTTGTAGAGAGTAAACAAGAGAAACAAAAGCAGTATAAGGATCTGAAATGTAAACGTGATAGATCTTTTGTTAAGTATGACAGACTATGTGTTCGAAATACTAGAGGTAATTCTAAAATAGATAAGTGGATTCCAGGTACTGTAATTAAAATTTGTGGACCACAAAGTTATATAGTTAGAACAGGTCATACAACTAGATATGTTCATACAGATCATTTAATTAAAGCACATGATTGTGTGAAAGGTGATATTGACGAGCAAGATGTAAGTGTTCCTGAGTTGCATGATTTTTCTGTTAATGAAAATGTAATTACTCTCCTGAATGTGTGACAACTTCACCAGTTTTAAGGAGATCTCAAAAGAGTAAGGAAACCTGTAGTCAAACTAGATCTGTGAGTTTATTGTTACTGTTCAATTTTTGAAGCAATTGTTAAAACTTATGTGAGTTGTATTCTTAACAGATTATATTCCCATTTTTAGGGGAAAGCAGTGTAATGTTTTGAAGGTTCTATTTGAGCATGATTACGTCATTGCTATTACCCAGAGTTCAATGCTAATAAACAGTAAGAGTGTTCCACCATTTTTGAATCATACGGACTGGTTCTTTTTACATTAGCCACTACTTGTCAATATATTACAATAGCCAACTGATTACTCACACATAGACAACTGAATACTCGCACACCCAACTGATTACTCACACATAGCCAACTGATTACTCACACATAGCCAACTGATTACTCGCACATAGACAACTATTTACTCGCACATAGCCAACTAATTACTCGCACATAGCCAACTGATTACACACACATAGCCAACTGATTACTCGCACATAGACAACTACTTACACGCACATAGCCAACTGATTACTCGCACATAGACAACTATTTACTTGCACATAGCCAACTGAATACTCGCACAGACAACTGCTTACTCACACATAGCCAACTGATTACTCGCACATAGACAACTACTTTCTCGCACATAGCCAACTAATTACTCGCACATAGCCAACTGATTACTCGCACATAGACAACTACCTACTCACACATAGCCAACTACTTGCACATAGCCAACTGAATACTCGCACATAGCCAACTGATTACTCACACATAGCCAACTGATTACTCGCACATAGACAACTACTTACTCGCACATAGACAACTACTTACTCGCACATAGACAACTCCTTACTCGCACATAGACAACTACTTACTCACACATAGACAACTGAATACTCACACACCCAACTGATTACTCGCACATAGACAACTACTTACTCACACATAGCCAACTGATTACTCGCACATAGACAATTACTTACTCACACATAGCCAACTGATTACTCGCACATAGCCAACTACTTACTTGCACTTAGCCAACTGAATACTTGCACATAGACAACTACTTACTCACACACCCAACTGATTACTCGCACATGGCCAACTGAATACTCATACACCCAACTGATTACTCTCACATAG